AAAAAAAAAAAAAAAAAAAAAAATAGTAAAATATAAAAGAATAAGTGTAAAATGCAATAAAAGGTTATAAAACAAAAAAAAAAAAAAATAAAATAAAAATAAAATATAAAAAAATAAAAAGTAAAATAAAATGAATTAAATAATATTAAAATAAAAAGTAAAAATACTAAAAAATATAATGTGTGTTCTCCTTAAAAAAAACTTCTTTAGTAATCTTAACTCCTTCAAAAAAACGTAAACAAATGTTTATATTTACATATATATGTAGTATATAATATTCATACCCCTTTTACTTTTTTAAAACAAATTCTACATAAAAATATTAAAAATAAAAAATAAAACAAATTGTTTTTACAGAATACTTACATACTATAAATTTTTATATTACATTTAAAAAAAAAATAACAAAGTAAAATATAATATATATATATATTATACTGTTGCAGAAAAAGCACAAAAAAAAAAAAAAAAAAAAGAATAAAATAATAATGGTAATAAATAAAAGAATAAACAAAAATAATAATAAAAATTAAATATAATAACTAAAATAAATATTTTATAAACAGTTTTTTTCCTTTTTCTCCTTAAGATATGATTAATTCCTTTTACAAATGTATAATCAGTTATATTATTAATATTTTTCATGTTATTATGTATGTCCAATCTCAATTCCATTATAATTTTCACCAATAATTCAAAATTTATTATTACTTCAATTTTCATTAAAACTTCCATCTTCATTAATGCTATTATTTTCATCTTTATCTTTGTTTTTATTCTCATCTTCATTCTCATTTACGTTATATTCATCCACATTTTTATTACTATTATCATAGAAATAATTTTCTCCCTTATTAATTTTAACTGAAGATTCATGAAAATTTTTATTATTTATAGGTTTCTCACTGTTTTTATTTTTTTCTGTAAAATCATACATTATACTATTGCTTTCATATACATCATTTAATTTGTTGACTAAATTATTTGAATTATTATTATCTAAATTATTTATTTCTTCATTATTCATAAAATCTATCAATGCATTGTTTTTCTCTTGAATATATGAATTACTATTGTTTTTTGTATATCTATTATATTTTACGCAAACTATTAGAAAAAAGGTAAGAAATATGAAAAAAAAAATAATATATAACCTATATTTATTTAATATTTCTTTATTTTTTAAATTCTTCATAATTTTTTTTGCTTGGTCTAATTTATCTGAAACAAAAGAAATATTTGATATATTTTTTTTAATACATTCTCTCTGTTTATTTAAATTTTTCATAACATCATTACTAATATATTCTGTATTATCCATTAGTATTTTTGATTGATTTATATAAACATCTCCTTTTTCTAGTAAATCTACATCACTAAGTAATAATATACGATCATCATAGTTGTTCAATTCATTATTTCTTTGATCTTTTTTCATAATTTCTTCTTTTAACTTTCTTAGTTTTGTTTTACATTTTGATATTTCATTATACATATCATTTAATTCATTATGAGCATTTTCTATCATAGAATTAGTTTCTACTTCTAATTGCATTCGCTTAAACATGTTTTCAGCACTTTTTATAGCTTTCTCATAAATATTTAATAATTTGTTTTGATCTGAGTTATTATCATTTATTATCTTCTCAGTATATAACACAGTTTTCATATATTCATCATAATTATTTTTATAATCATTATATAAAGCATCCGACATTTTAATTAACTTTTAATAAAGAAATAATATATATATAAAAATAAATTGTAAAAGAAAAAAAAAAAAATAATTCAAAAATATAAAATATACAACAAAAAAAAAAAAAAAAAAAAAAAAAAATTTTTTATTTTTTTTT